ACTCTCCTATGAATCCTTTACACTGTAGTGGACTGCTACATAAAAGCAGGGCATCTGACTCCAATTAGTGACTTGCATCTTGATGTATCATCCGTGGCTAAGAGCTTCTTGGGCATGTGGATCATAGCCTCCAAATCTAATCCACTTTAATTGCTAGCTTTTAGCTTATCTGTTTGTCTCTGTGAGAAGATTTGAAGTGTAATAGTATGTTTCTGGAGAGAGAACCATTATGGACCAACAGAGCAAGCCTCAAGTTAGCGAGTCTGGCTCTGATCCCCTGTATTGCCAAGAGTAGATGGACCAGTCATTTGACAGCCTGTTGAATAGTAGCCACGTGGCTTTTCCCACTTCAGAAATAGTTTTTGGTGATCTTGGGCTTTGGTGCTCACTGAGTTGGGTGACTGTCTTCAGAGGCAACAAAGGGGGAAGGGCTGAGAGAGTTAAGGAAACTATTCTACTTAGCAGCCCGTCTTGAGCAATAAATGCACCCCCGAAATGGAGTAGGTTGTGAGTAGTGGTAACTGATGAGGAGGAAAGCAGGTTGATTTCCTGGGGCCAGAAGACAGAAATCAAGGCATCTTCTGAAAATTAGAAAATTCAACCTTTAGTTAATCTGAGGACTGTGTTCTCCCAGTAGCTGCTTAGATGGTATTTTCTTTTTCTTTGCAATAAAGTGTACAACTTGCTGTTGTCAGAGCAGTGTCTGGATGCTAATGTGGGTGGGGAAATTGTCTTTTACCAGTACAGACAGCGCTGGATATTGTTACAGCTTGCACACTGCTCAGAAGCTCACAATTGACAGGACAAGTGGGACTGCACTCCATTCAGCTCCTCCCACCAAGCCTTGTTCCTCAGGGCAGAATCCTCTCAGGAGAAGCCTCTTCTAAGTTGCCAACGTCCTGGTTTAGGGTAATAGATGTCCTGAGCATACGCAGGCTTCTCCAGGGAATGAAGGAGGTTTGGGAGTCAGTACTCCCCACTCACATGGGGTCCCACAGGCAGTCACTCACCATGATCTTGTAGGATTATTAGGAGAATGAAATGAAAACAAAATGAGTAACTTGAACACTTGAACACAGTGTATATACTTGCTTCTCCTCCCTCTCCCTATCACACACACTTAATATCTAGGCCTTTATTTGTTATAATGACTGTGGATTCTTTCTAGGAACTGCCCCATGGACGTTCCAGGCCTACAGTGCACTGACTTGTGTTGTGACATCATGCAAGAACTTCAAAGTACGCATAAGATCTGCTGCTGCCCTTTCCATTCCAGGCAAGAGAGAGCATTATGGGTCGGTTGGCCAGTATGCTCAGATCTGGAATGCATTAGTCACTGCCCTACAGAAGAGTGAAGATACCACAGACTTTTTGGAATTCAAGTATTGTGCCAGTCTGCGGACACAAATCTGCCAGGCGCTAATTCACCTCCTGAGCATCGCCAGTGCCTCAGACCTGCCCTGCATCAAAGAAACCCTTGAGCAGAATGGGGACATGGTCCAGTCCTATATCCTACAGTTTTTAAAATCAGGAGCAGAGGGAGATGACACCAGAGCATCCTATAGCCCACAGGAAAGAGATCAGATGGTGAAAACTGCCCTGGAACACATAAGTGGTATTGAGTCACTGACTGGCGACTCGGCCAAAAAAGCCATCATGGGCTTTTTAGAAGATATTCTGACTGTTTATTTTGATTCATCTGAATCACAAGATGCACTCCTAGAATTAACAAATCGGTGAATATTCCACCATATTTTCCAAGTGTCAAGTGGTAGGAGGAAGGCCGTAGCTTAAGTGTCAGATATGTGGGATTTCATTTTAGGGGCAGAAACAATCCATCCATTATTTATGTAGAATGAGTTAGCAATTAAAATTTTTTCTTGAAAGGCTCAGCCACTTCAGAGGTGGTTCCACTACATTAGCCATGGTCTGGGTCATTGCGACCCAGTTTCTCTTACTGAGTACCCAGGAGCCAAGGAGCTGGGATGTGGTATGAGCTGAGCAGAGTGGAGGATTGTGAAAGGTGTTTAGTCACAGAAGATTTTTTTTAAAAACAACACAAAAGGAGTTAGGAATTAGAATGTTGTATATTGTGTCTCTGGGAGTTGTTTTTCTTTTGTAATAAACTAATGAACATAGCATGCCCGTATCTCCTATTTTTATCAAGTTACATTCATAAACAGCTACAAGCAGAGCAGATGATCAGCCAGTTTTCTCTAGGCACAGCTGTGTGGGTTTCCAAAACACTGAAGCAGTTCCTTAATGTTGGTAAATAGCTGCCACGCGGAGCTCTGCCACCCCCTGCACTTTTCCCACAATCCAGTAACCAGAGTTAACTCCTGGCCCACGGGCCAGTTCACCAGCTATTACATCAACTTTTAATTTCCTAATGCCTTAGGAGAGGGCGATCCCACATGAAAATATGTAAGGTTTTTGCCACCTTTGAATTTGTGTCTTAAAAAAAGGATTATTTATTTGAGAGATTTTTAAATTATATTTTGATAATACCCAAGTGGTTACTAAAATAAATTTTCACTGAAGAATTATTTACATTGGCATTTTGCATTCATCTCTGACCACCACCAATTTATTGATAGTGATAACAATCAGGAATTTAAAGATACATAAGAACTAAGTAGAATGTTCCACACAAAATTTATTGATAGTGATTAACAATCAGGAATTTAAAGATACATAAGAACTAAGTAGAATGTTCCACACAAAATTTTACTTGATGTGGGATAAGTAAGAACCAAGGCATAGCAAGTCCTCAAATAACATCATTTCCTTTCATATTACTATATTGAAGAGAAAAAAATCTATTTGCGTGCCAGGGTCACTGTGGAGTTCGTACATCCCCTGTCTACATGCGTTTTCTCTGGATACTCTTTATTTCCTCTTATGTCTGAAAGAGGAGGGGAGGAAGACAGGGAGCCAGGGAGAGAGATGGAGAGGGACTCAGAGTACGTTTGTAACAGACTCCTCTCTCTCACACACCCAAACTCAAACCCAAATGAAAGTAAAGAAAAACTCCAACCACCAAAGGGACACAGGGAAAGTATGTCTAAGATCCTGATTGTGGTGATAGTTTTGTGGATTTATGCATATGGCCAAACTCATTTAATTGTATGCATTAAGTTGTGCAGGTATTTTTGTATACCAATTAAACCTCAATAAAACTTAAAAGTCCAAAAAAAAAAAAAAAAGATGGGCATATCAGGTTCATTAGTATGTTTAAGTTGCCTGGTCTGAGTGTGTGTGTGTGTGTGTGTGTGTGTGTGTGTGCCTGCAATGGGAGGGTGTCCTGTTCAGGGTGTGTGCCCACCTTGCAGCCTGAGCTGTCAGGGTAAGCTCCAACCACCCTTGACCCTGAACTGGAGTAAGTGGGTTGGAAAATGAATGAGTGAATACAAGTTATTTATTACTATTAGAAATGTTTTGGTTCTTTGTTTTGAAGTTTGGTAATATTTTTGTGACCAGAAATAAGCAGCAGGAACTGAACTGTCATATCAGTTAGCCTGGAATAAAATTGGTTTTCTTTATGCATCATGCCACTTTAAGTCATGGTTTTCAAGAATCTTACTGGCGTGAAGTGAGGACTTTGTCTTTATAAGGTGCGGTTGGGAATGTTATTTATTGTTATGTAGCTTAAAATGAGTTTGAGGGCACCAATTGTCAGTTTTTCTCCTTTACTCTTAAGCTGCTCTCTTCCCCCTCTTATGTGTTGCTGGTTGCTCAGAGTATGCTGCTTAGCAGAGATTGAGGAGCAGAGTGCTCCAAGTCATTGAAAGCCCAACTTTGCAGTGGTAGAGTGCAAGTTTCTTCCAAAGAGACTAGAGGCACAGTAAAAACAGCCATATAGAACATTCTTTAAACTTGCTTTTCTTTGGAAATGATTGTAGAAGCCTATCGGAGGGCCTAGGGAAATGAGTTGAACTTATACTGATGTATGATGAATGTATGATGAATCTTGGAGCTTCCTTCTCTTGAAGAAGGAAGTTCTCAGAAGCAACTTGTTCACTTGTCATTTTTGTAAAAGTTAAAATATGACTTGCAACTCAAGTTCTTTGAGCTTTCACAGGTAAGTTTCTTGATAAAATGTGTGAAATGATTTCTAATGTTTCTGTTGGGTGATTCACTCTTATCCTTAGTTTATCTTAATAAAATCCTGGAAATCCCAGGAGACCAGGTATGGGTTTCTGTCCTGGTGACATCTGACCCCCTCCTCATGGCGGATGTAGCTGTACAGCAGGGGCAGGAGTGCCCCTCTGATACCTTGGGCTGGTCCTGCTGTAGAGCTGCCATCGTGAAAGGAAGGCACTGAGACCATAAGGACTTAGAACTTACTCTGATGCAGAAGTAGCAGCAAGTCTGCTCTGACTCCAAACTAATTCAGAATGCCAAATTCTGAACTTTCTTTTGATATTTAAAAGAAAAGCAATTGAAGGAGGGGTTAACCCTGGACAGATGGTCAGAGCCTTAGTTCATTAAACTAACAGCATTAGGAAACATCACTGATATCCTGTGTTAAACCTTTCCTGTGACCACTAAAAGAAACACACTATTTCTTGCCTACTTCCGGAAAGTAGTAGTCAATGGTAGTAACTACAACGGTAATTACGGAGAGCTAACAAGTAAATCAGTAAAGCCAGCATCCTGACAGTCAGGGCAGACAGAAACCTCCCACGGGACACCAAAAGCATCCTTAGTTTTGATATTTTACATGAGTACAGGCGGTAAGCCACATCTCACCGTCTTTCCAACATAAGAGCTGAGTTCTAGTCACTCTGCTCCATTCTGCCTTCATAAACACAGTGCAGTGGTTAAGAGACAGGGCTTAAATCCTGGCCCTGTTGTTTTCTACCTGAACATCACTTCAGCTCTCATCTAAAAATGGGATAAATCCGTCTTCCTCATAAGGGTATTATAATGATTAGATTACTTAATACATGGCAAGTCCTTATAACAGCTTCTGGTTCTCAAGAAATGTTAGACATATATTTGCCTTGAATTTTTAGAGCACTAGGAAGACATGCTGTCAATGCATTGTGAGGTTTCATGATGACCAACAGTTGGATTCCCCTGACTGCACTTTTAGGTTAGGTGTTAGCTTAGATGCCTCAAGTAGACAGAACAGTATCATGAAACCCCATTCACCCCTCAGCTTCAACTAGTATTAATGCTTCGGCACTCTTGTTTCATCTATTTCCTCCATACCCTATTATTTGGGAGTTAATCTCAGACATGGCATTCCACACCTAAATATTTCAGTATGTGTCTTTAAATGGTAAGGATCTTTTTTTAAAAAATCGTAATTGTAATACCATTAGCACACATTAAAAGTAATCTAGTAGTATAGGAGAGACACCCCAGGGCCTGACAGAAACAGCTCTTCATTTTGCCCCCACCCCCAGATCCCTCATGGGCAAGGGAAAAGACTAGAAGTTTGAGAAGCCATGCACTTAATGGGAGTAGAAACCCCTTTTCTAGTTCTGCTTCATGACTGAGGGCCAGTTTTCAGATTACAGATGCAGTTTGCAGAAACTTCAGAACTATACCTGGTTTTTCAGGACAACGGCAACTTAATAACTGTCCTTGGGTAAGTTATTTGACCTCTTATCTGTCAAATGTACTGGATAGTTTCAGGAGAGGATCATATAATGTGTAAGGCATCTGGCTGGGTGCCCAGTGAAATATGGGACCTCTTGTTACACTTTTCTTTGATGTCTTTCCTGGGCTTGAATGTCTCTGTCTCATTAGAGTAAGATCACTGGAGGGGGATCTGGGGTAGAAGTGTCTGTTTGTTTCTAGTGTAAACCAGAGCCCTAAAGTCTAAAGAGATCCTTAGCTCCAGTGCACAAGGACATTACATTAAGGTCCAAAGTCTCAAGTAGTGAGTATTCATTTGTTGTTTCTGTAACACTCAAGGACTACAGCACTGCAATGGGTAACAGCTCACCGGGGAGGGAGGTGGTGCTACAACCCCTCTGAGGGCATTTCGAAACAAGTGGTTTGTGTCATTTGCAAAATCCTTTCCCTTGAGAATTATTGCTCTATAATCTACCCCATGACCAACTTGTACTTACTATAATAATGCAGGTGTATTTTTAATTAGAAATTCTATTAAAATGTCAATACCTCTGATGACCTCTGACATCAGAGGTCAAATGAGAAACCTCAGCAGTTCTCCCATTGCAGTGACTATGCAGGCATTTCTGCTCACAAATCTTTTCCCTTTGCAAAGCATGAGTGAAAGCTCTCTGCCTGCCTGTGTCTATGCACGTGTCTCTCATTTCCTTTCTCCTTTTCCTAATAAACTTGTCCTTTTAAAATGAAAAGAAAAGAAACCTCAAATGGTCATTTTTATGAATGCTTAAAAGAACATTTGATAAAATTTAATGAACTTTACTGATTAAAAAATTTTTTACTCAATGAATAAAATAGATATTTTATTAAAATTATAAAATATATCTACCATATCAGTGATTTCCCTTACAAAGTCATAACCAAGTAAGACCAATCTGTCATCACCATTATCTAGCACTAAGATTTAATAGCCAATGGGATTAAATAACTAAAAGAATTTTTCAAAAACAGTTCTGAAATCTCTGACTGAATTTACAAATCATTATTTGCAGAAAAACAGCTTAAAATAATAGAATGAATGAAAGTTCTGTAAGGTAGCTCATTACAATGTAAGTATACCAAAATCTGCAGTTCTTCACAGAAGTAACCAGTGATTTTTTTTATGTTGAAAAAAATGCTATTCATCATAACAAAAAAATGTGAAATACTTGGGAATAAATTTAAAGCTTGTGTAAAGATTTTGTGGGAAAGTAAAAAATTTTACTGAAGTTCCTGAAAGATGACATTTTAAAGGGAGAGTAGATATACCCTGGTCCTCGATAGGACGCAATATCCTGAGAAGACCACTTCTCTCCAAATCTATATGCTTAACTAAATTCCCATCAATTTCCAAATAATATTTTTTAATAATAAAAGGATCCCAAAGTTCATCTGGAAAAGTAAAGGCAAAAATTCAAAGCAAGGAATCAGGTTTTTCAACACCACACTGTGGTGGAAAAGAGAATTTCTTCGTAATTTCTCAACCTTGGTTAAGTCCATAGCCCTGTTCACTAAATAAAAATTCATCTTCCATCCTCTTTTCTGTCCCACCCCATCCAGTCTCTCCCAGTGAACGCAGCTCTGGACCTGGACACAAGACAAGGAGCAGCAGTTTCAGAGAGGAAAGTGGAGCAGGAAGCGCAGGGAAGGAAGGAAGAACTCAGAGTCAGGGCACTGGCCGTAAATGAACCTTTCCTTCCACTCTCTGGCTCTCTCCTGGCCCAGACTCTGAGACAGACAGACACCTGGACCCGCATCCCAGATGCAGACAGAGCTCCCATGAGCCGGACAGACACCTGGACTGCATCCCACATGCACACAGCCAGAGCTCCCAGGGGAACTCTCTGTTTCTGTTCTCAGGAAAGGGCAGGAGGGCCCATTTACACCTGAAAATGGGGGAATCCAGTGTGTGGTTTCTTGTCTCCCACACTGGCCGCTTGGTATTCCTCGGTATTTGGCACAGCAGTGGCTGTGGCAGTCAGGCAGGTGCCTAAAGCTCCTCTCTCTCTCTCTGGGCCTTCTTATTTGACCTGGTAAAGTGAATTTTTGCTAACAAGACTCTGACATCAGAGAAATTTGAAACTGCGGGCTTGAAGAGCAACAGTGATGGAAAATGTTTGGGTAAGTATAATAGACTTTTAAACTTTTCATCATAAGCTTTTTATAACATCTATAACCAGTGAGGGAAAAAACTTATTATCTCATGATGTTTTCAATGGTTATAGATGGTAGTACACATGAAAATTACAAGACAAAGAAGAGCCTCAGTTCTACGGTCAGATTTCTAGGGTTTGTTTTGGTTTAATTTTGTGTTACTTTGTTTTGTTTCTCTGTATTCCACAGCTGAATGAAATCATCTGGCTAAATATTTTTTAATGAATGAAAATCATTTATGCAATATGAATCCCTAGACTCAAAATATAGTGCAATCTTATGCCTAATTACAATCATAACTAACATTGGCTGTATTGTATGGTAGGGTAAAGAAAATATCAGGCTTTTCTGCCCTTCCGCCATCAGGATAGATGATGGATCCTTGTCCTGAATGCATGCCTGATGGCGGGCACCTGGAATAGGGTGTGGGCATAGGTAGATGGGATTCAGCTGAGCTAAGACTGTGCTTTTAAGGGTGGCGTCACGGGGACGCCAGCAGCAGCAGTAGAAGCCAAGAAGCTGAGAAAGAAGCCGAAGCAGAAGCCGAAAGAGAAGCCGAGAAGCAGCAGAACGAACGCCAGACAGCCCAGATAGAGTGAGGATTTGCTGGGGGCCGGGAGGCTGCCAGCTTCCCGGCCCCCCAGCACCCCTGCCTGCCATGTACCCGCTGAATCCCAACAAAAACCTGCAAAATCACTGAGGACTCTGACTACTCCTTTACCCGGTCTGCATGGGATCAGAAAACCTGCACTGTGTCCAGTCCTGCCTTACAGTATTTACCAAGCACTGAAAAGATCCCGGATAGCGCTGATGCATTTATAACCCTCAGACCATCCTATTATATACAAGATTATTTTTCAGCTATTTTTATTACTTATTTAGCAGCTTGTCTCAGAGAGCAAATTGTAGAGGTAAACTGTAGCAATGTAGGGCAGCGGCCAGCAGATGGAGACAGAGGACACAAGTCATTCAGACTCAGGGTTTTTACCGAAGCTGTTTTCTCTGACACAGGAGTGGCAACACCTGGGTATCAATCAGGTTGCTCTCATTTGAACACTGCTTCTGGAACCTGGCTGCTCATTGGAATCACTTGGGGGAATGTTAAACAAGCAAACAAACAAACAAAAAAAACTGGGTTCTGAGTTTTGTGGTCTGGAGTGTGGTCTTGTCATTGGGAGCTTTACAACCTGCACAGGTGTTTCTAATTACAGCCATTTTGCCGCCGGCTACCTCAGAACCTGCAACCACCACCTTGGAACCTGCAACCACCACGAGTCTCGAGCTGGCGTGTTTCAGAATCATCTAGAGAACTTGTGCAAAACAGACCCAGGCTGCTGTCATCTTCATTCTTCTGAGAACCAGCGCAAACTGAAATGGTGATATATTCAAATTAAGGTGGTTAAACATATAACCAGGACTAAAACTGATACAGTCTCATACTAGATGCTAATATATTAGAATGACAGCAAGCATCAAATGTTTAAGAAAATGTTATAGGAGAAAGCACTAACTATGAACTGAATCTTGTCCTGGAAATGGAGAGCTCAGATGGGTGAGCCCCGGATGAGCTCACATAACTCAGAGCAGGTCCCCAATGCCAGGCAGGCAGGTTTCCTCCTCAGAGACGCCCAGGTTCCCCATGTCAAGCTCTGGGAGAAGTTTTTTTTTATTCTTTAATTTTATTTTATGTAATTCTTATATCATTTTCATTTTTGCACAATGTATGCATTTTCATTTTGGTTATATTCCTCATATAATTCCCACCTCCCCTTATTTTGACCCTAATCCTTGTCTTCTCCACCCCCCACCCCCCACCGTCACCCCCACCTCAGTAGTGTGTTTCTGGTCTACAGTTAGTTGACTATTGATTTTGATTTTTTCTTTATTATAATTAGTCTTTTTCCTGGTCCCTTATTTAGGTTTTCTAAGTTCCTGCTATGAGTGAGACCATCAGTATTTTTCTTTTTCTAGATAGAGTTGGCATTCCATGGGGGGATTAGGGAAATGTAGACCTGCTTGGGCCTCTGGATTCTAACCTTCGTGGGGTATACACCCCAAATTTGTTTTTACTCACTTAAAATACTTTAACGAAAAGGTTTAAATTATTTTAATATTAGAACCATCATAGATTAATTTTCTATATAAAAGTAATGATTCTTGATTTTTCCATATAAAAGTAATGATTCTTCATTATGGGATATTTGAAAAATACAAAACAGTATTTATGTGCAAGTAAAAAATAATGAGGTAATCATTAATATAGTTTTGATACGTTTCATTTCAGACATTTTTCATGACCTATGTATTTGTGACATGAGTTCATGCTACACAAGTGGTCTCATTCACACTCCAAATTAGTGTGTGCATGTGTACACTCCAGAAATCAGCCTATTAATCATGATCACAAGCTATATTCTTCTCTGCAACCTCATATCTCTTTAAGAGTATATTGTAAGTGCTAAATACTCTTCTAAAACATGACTTTAATAACTGGGTAGTAGTCCATAGTATCCATTGACCATAATTTAACCAAATCTCTATTGTTGGATATTGTTTTTCAATTGTTGACTTAGGTGCAATTCTTTAATGTGTGATGTGAGACAGAGATGTAACTTTATGGGTCTCTGAGTGGTTAGTCCATTGTCTCTGCACCACTGGCTTGATAACCAATTGTCCTGTTCCTGGATTTCATGTGCCTCCCTGCTCAGATACATTCCTGTATTCCTGCAGGACTATGTGTGGCTTCCTGTTCTATTCATCCCCCTGCTCCTCTACCCTCCTGTGAGTCCCAAGCTTCTTTAACTGTTTGGCTTCATAACAAAGGTCAGTAGGCAGATGGCCAACCAGACACGGCAGGTTCTGTTCTTGGTCCCTTGACTGGGTATAGGACTTGACACTACCTTTTCCTTGGGAATCTCAGCTGCAGCTAATTACTACAGAATATTTAATATGGACACTTAAAACACTTCCATTCAAGTGGGGGAAATGTTTTGAAGATGGAAGAAATAACTCTTCTTTCTAATTGCAGTTGTCATCCTTAAGAACACCCGATATGGCAGCAGTCCAGGAGATGGCGCTGTCCCCGGAGAACCAGATTTCAGTAATTCTGCACAGTGAGTCCACACTGCTGCTGTCTTTGAGTTCTTGTGTCTGCCTTTTGGAGTTGTTCTCTCTCCTTCCTCTCTGTTCACATTGTCAGCTGTCACTCTGACTCTAGCAGCCCTCTTTCTTGTGATTTTTCTGTTTCTGATCATCTGTGGCTTACAATCCTAATAATTAAGCTCAGTGACAGTATTGATTGCTACCATGTACTGCCTGCCTATTTTGTGTCAGACTCTAACTAGTTTAATTCACCTCTAAATCTTGCCACAACTCTATGTGTAGCTAATATTGCCCTCATTTTTCAGAGATGAGAATTTTTTAGAAGTGAATTATAATAGAATTATATCTAAAATGAGGTTGCATAGGTGTGTATCCAAGCTTGAAGGAGTCTCCTTTGAGGAAGGTCTGAACCTTTATTCACAGGAAGGAGGGCCACAGAGAGCAGAGTCACTGCAGAGGGAGCTAGAGCATAGCAGGGGCGACTGCAAAGCCAGCATCTGGAGAGGGTAGGAAAGGACTAGATCAAGAGTTGAAGTGGAAGCAGGTAGCAGGTGTTTGTTCAGAAGGATGACACGCATTCCTGTATCTAAAGAAGGATACAGAGACATTTGGGATTTAAGCAAGTTATCTGGTCACATATTTTGAGAGAGAGCAGATATTGTTGCTGAATTCAGAGGCCAGAGTTCCTTAATGCAGTTGAGCCAGTTGGCTGCAGTGGTTGAAGGCTTGAAAAGGCATCCTTTAGAAGCTGCTGTCTCACTCCACCCCCTACTCTCCCATCACCACCACCCTCCAGTCTCCCCAAATAAGCTATGTGCATTCACATCCTTTCCATCAGGGTCTGGAGGAACTCCAACCAAGACAGCCTGGCCCACCATTCCCCAAGTCTACATTTCTTGCCCTGAACTTGAAATCATATTTTCAGCTACCTATCAGAAATTTCTAATTGGGTGTCTGTGTGGGAACTTTTTTTCTGTTTGTGATTATTGACCATGGGCCTGAAAGGGAACGAAGAGCCTGTTCCATTTGACTTGATTTTTGAGCAAGTATTATACTAAGACATCAGGGAAAATACCAGGATGAGTAAAATGATGGTGGTGGTGGGGTCCACAGGACAGCCTCCCTGCATTTCTCAGCCTCCTTGATAGCTCAGGAGCCATCTCCTCCTGGAAGCCTGTCTTAATCTGTCCTGCACCCTGTCCCTCAGCCCATTCAGGTTTGTCGCCCCCCCCCCATATCATCCCTGTTTACCTACACAGACTCATGCCCCCTGAAGAAGAAGAATGTGACCCCCCTTAAGAAGACAATGGGGCGCTTTACTCTCCTTGCTATCCTCACTGCCTGACTCAAAGTCTGGCACATGGTAGGTGATCAATAAACAGTTACTGAACCAAACCTTGCAATAACCTCACCAAATTATCAAGACTTGAGGTTCTGATCATTCCTGCAGATTCCTTTTTAGGTACTAGGCCATCACTAAGAGCACCAGCCAACACTTGCCTCAGTGAAACAGAAACACCACCCCTACCTGTTTCCCTCCAGCCCCTTGGAAATGGGCTGCTCTGCTTGGCAAAGCTGGGGCCCCCAAAGCATCTGCAGGTGGCCCTCCTCTGCTAGTGCTCACCTAACCCTGCATTCTGACTGGCACGGACCCACCCCTCCACCCCCCATTCTGATGCTGTAGATCTGGGGTGGGGGCCAGTGTTCTGCACACCTACCCAGCTCCCAGGTGAGGCCTCTGTGCTGCTATCTGATCATCCTTTGACTAGAGGTTACCAATCTCTACCCAGCTGTCCAAACTAGCAAAGCAGTCCAAATTTTGTAAGCAACTATTACTTTTGTCACTGTCCTTCTCATTAGGTCAGCTTCTGTACTTCCGCGTGTATAGGTGTTTTTGAAAAGTCCCCGTGTCTTTCAAAGAACAGTGCCTGTTTGCATCCTCCCCTACCCCACCCCTCCATCCCTGCATGCCAGCCTGTATATGAAGTGGAAAGGAAAGGGGAATGGGTGCTAATTAGTGACATTCATTACATTCCCAGCTCTGCAGGTGCCTGAAGCTCTCTGGGCCTCTGTTTCCTGTCCTGTAAAATGGGTGCATGGTGCCTGGTCTGTCTGTTTCAGGATGAAAGTAGGCGATTGCAGAGAGCAGCAGTTTCCCAGTGTCAGAATGGATTTCTAGTTCTGCTCTTCCATAACCTGTGACCTAGGAAAAATCACCTGTCATCCCTGAGCCTCACTTACTCATCTGTAAATTGGAAGGGAAAAATAGATAAGGGCTATGTAAATGTGTCAAGCCTGAAGTCTACTAGATGTGCCATGAATATGGGATCTCTTCCCCACACAAAGAGCTGTTAAGGGGATTTAAAAAGATCTTCTCAGTAAGATCTCCCTGCCCATCCCTATCCAAAATGTCAAGCCCCAGCCTCCCATCCTCACCCTGTCCATGTTGCCCTTGTTTTCCTTGTTGCTTATCACTATCTTTTCCCTTATTTGTCTTTTGTATTATCTCCCTCCCCCACTAGCTGACTCTGCTGAGCAGCAGGGGATTTTGCCAGCATTGCATTAATTTATGCTCAGGGTCTACAACAGCCTTAAGCACATGCATCTTTGTTAAAAGCATGGAGTGGCACTGCTCTGGATGTTGTGCTATTGTGTTATCACAGTTCATTTCTTCCACACCTCTGAAGCCAGTGTAATGCACATGTACAGGCATGAAGCTTTTAGAAAAAGCCCCAGCAGGAGACAGTTTAAGCTGAGACTGTGGGGGGGACAGAAGGCAGGGGGGTGGCTTATAGTAGGATGCACAGAGCAATTAACCCAGCAAAGAACTGCTGGGTAATAAGGGGAGAGTCTTCTGGGTGGCCCTCAAATGGAATATTGTTCCTTTCTCGCTCTCCTTAACCGTGGGCACAATAGATGAATCCTGCTCTCTTATAAACCAGCGGAGTCCATAAGAAAGCAATCCACCAGGTGTCAATACTCAGCCCCCAGAATGCACCCCACCTGCCTTCCACTGCAGGCAGCCTTCCCAGCTTTCTGGGTTCCTCATATTCTTGGTTCTTTAGGGAGGGTTGTCTCTGTTCTCACAGTCTTCATGATCGGTGCACACAGGACCGGGCCCTTGCTCCAAGCTCTGATCTTGATGTAATATTCACCCTCTAGTTTCAGCCAGCACTTGGGGCTGTGAGTCCCACCCCAGACCCCAGAGGGGATAGCACCGGCTCGTGGAACAGAACACTGGCTTCAGGTCACCTGGCTCTGGCTTCAAACCCTGAGTCCACAAATGACTATGTAAGCAACTTTAGTTAACTGCTCTGAGCCTCAGTTTCCCCGTTTGTGAACTGTAAGGATAAGCATTATCTTGCAAGGATATTGTCAGTAGTGATTCTCAAAGTATGTTCTTTGGAACATCAATCCCAAGAGAGGCAAAAGAGTTTCATTTTCAAGTGAGATTGACAAATGTTGAGTATCACTTGCCCCTATTGATTCTCAGATAACATTAGACTAAGTAAGCTCTGAGAAACCTGTAAAAGAATCTGCTTAACACAGCCTTTTCCAAGTAGTAGAAACTTTTATGTAAGGAACACCTGTTAGCATGCAGTGGGGCCAGTGTTCTCGGAAATACACTTTGGGAAAAGCTGTTTGGTAGGATCAAATTAGATGCTAAGCAGAATTCCTAGAAGGTGCATAGTGGACACCCATCAAGTGTGAATGCCTTTAATACTTCTCCCCTCAGATCAGCCATGTTTATTCAAACCTTTCCCCTTTCAGCTATAAAAAAGCATTGAGGCTGTTATGACCAGTAGTTTTCCAGAAAACTTTTGTTGATCTGTTTGCATGGAACTGAATGAGGTTAACGCCTTGTGTAATTTTGAAGCTGAAATACGAGTGCGCCACCCCCTGGATAAAGGAACACTCACTCTTGGGTTCCTGGAGGGTGACTGGTCAGACCTGCCCCAGCAGGAGGTGGTGAAGTTGGGTAACTTGCCCAAAGTGGCAAAATATGACCTCTTTCTAGTAACAACCCTATGTTGTGAGGTAATGAACCAGTATGGCCCATCCCCTGGGTTCAGATATGACTACCTCCTGGTTAATCTTTTGGGAAAAGGCTGACAATCTATATGCCAAAGTCCTTAGAAATCTCCCCACTTAGGAAGGCCACTACTGGAATTACTGTAAGGAAACCATCCAAAAATGCAGATAGAGGGTACGCCTAAGGATAGTCTTCACACATCTGAATGGACAAAACTGGAAACGGCCCAGATGCCCAACGTGTGGGGGGATAGCGAAATCCATTGTGGGGCTACTGTGCATTAAATAGCCACACTCATTTAGAATAATTGTGAATGATGTGAGGACTTGCTTATACTATAATGTTAAGGAAATAAAACAGGCCATAAAATAAAATGTATATATTTTAATAACTGCTATATTGTTGCATGGAGAAAGAAAACCAATGTCTTAGGAGGGTCATTTCTGAGTGGTGAGATAATGAGGGATTTTTCATTCTATTTATTTTTCTGTTTTCTCCTTTTATTCTACATGTTTTTCTATATTTCCAAGTTTTATATAATAGTGATCAGCGAAAGGTAGACATTAAAAAAAATTTTTTTAAAAGGCCTCCAGCCAAGTGATCAGATGTGGTAGGACCCAGTAGACTAAATTATAAGCGCTATTTTGGTGTCTAGAGAGCCTTTTCCACTATCTGGATGGGGCCAGTTTATGTCAGGGAGGGCCACCACTAGGGTTTTCCACACCCCAAAACCACCTGCCCTATGTTGTCATATCTGTGTAGAACATGCACTATTAATATTTTTATAGAAATCTATTCTGTTTTAAAACCTAGACACGTATGTTTAGGGTAACATTTTAACTACTGAAAATGGAAAAATAGTATCATTCACCATGAATGGAAAGTAACTGCAAAAATAAATGCAATAAAACAAAAAATTTTTATCAAATTCTAGACTAGTAAGCAACTGAGCCCCAGCACTGTTTCCTCTCTAAAAAATGGGGTGGGGTAGAA